CTTCCACACGGAGCAGGTGAAGGACATCTTCCAGCCGTACGCGGAGCGGCTGCTGGCCGAGATCCAGCGCAACGTGCGGGAGCTGCAGCGCGGCGTGGCCCCGCACGCCCGCGCCAGCCCCGAGCAGCTCAACCGGCACATCCGGGAGCTGTCGGCCAAGCTGGCCCGCAACGCGCGGGACCTGCACCGGCAGATCCAGAAGAACCTGGAGCAGCTGAAGGCCAAGCTCAGCCTGTGGCCCGGCGGCCCCGCGGCGCCGCCGGGCCGCTCCCGGGAGGCGCTGGCGCGGGAGGTGCAGCGGCGCGTGGAGGAGTTCCGCCGGGACACGTACGCGCAGATCCAGGCCTTCACCCGGGCGCTGGACCAGGAGACGGAGGAGATGCGCCTGAAGCTCAGCGCCCGCCCGGAGCCGCCCGAGGGGCCGCTGGACGCGCCGCCGCCGCCCGTCGAGGACCTGCGCGCCCGGCTGGACGCGCTGTGGCGGGACCTGGCGCTGAGCCTGAGCGAGCGGGGCGGGGAGGGTCTCGGGGAGGGTCCCGGGGAGGATCTCGAGGAGGGTCCCGGGGAAGGCCCGGGCCGGGCCCGCGGCTGATCGCCAATAAAGGCGCCGCCATCGCGGCCCGCGCGCGTCACATGACCCGGCCCAGCCACGTGATCGTACGTCATCGCCCCGCGCCGCGCCACCATCATGTCGGCGCTGGGGGCCACGGAGGCGGCGGCCGCGCCCGGCGGGGCCCTGTTCCGGCCGCTCAGCGCCGAGGACGGCGAGCAGCAGCCGGCAGAGATCGAGTCCCTGTGCATGAATTGCTACCGCAACGTGAGGGGCCCCGGCGGGCCCGGCAGCGGCGGCCTGCGGGGACTGGGGGGCATAGGGGCCTGTGGGGGCCTGTGGGAGAGCGGGACAGGGGGACACAGGGGCCCGTGGGGGCCCGGGGGAGAGCGGGACAGGGGTGTGCGGGGCCAGGGTGGGTACAGGGTATGCGGGGTCAGGGGTGTGCGGGAATTGGGGCACTGGGGACCGTGGGGCTAGGGGGAGAGCAGGACAGGGTGTCCGGGGGTCTGTGTGGTCAGGGGAGAACAGGACAGGGGGTGCAGGGGTCTGTGGGGTCAGGGGGCACAGACCCCCGTGTGGGCCGGGCTCAGGGGTCCCCAGTGGCCGTGGGGAGGAGCGGGCAGGGGCCAGGAGTGAGGAAGGACCTGCCGGGGACCACAGCTGCTCTCGGAGTAGGGGGCACGGGGGGGTCGGGAGGGCGTTTCCAGGAGCTCCCGGGGGCGAGGGGAGGTTTGTGGGGCAGGCAGGGCAGGGGCAGGGCCCTGGGCCGTGGCCCCAGGCTCGGGTTCCCACGAGCTCCTCGCTGCCCCCCGCAGGGAGTGACGCGGCTCCTGCTCACCAGGATCCCCTTCTTCAAAGAGATCATCGTCAGCTCCTTCTCGTGCCCCAGCTGCTGCTGGTCCAACACGGAGATCCAGGCAGCGGGCAGGATCCAGGAGCAGGGCGTGTGCTACACCCTGGCTGTCACCTCCCGCCAGGTGGGCACTGCCCGCCCTGCTGCAGCTGCAGCCCCTGCAGGGCCGGGCTGGGCCAGCCCCTGGGGGTCCCTGGGGGCTCAGGCTGCTCCCTGGCTCTGCCTGCAGGACATGAACAGGGAGGTGGTGAAGACCGACTGTGCCTCAGCCCGAATCCCAGAGCTGGACTTCGAGGTGCCTGCCTTCAGCCAGAAGGGAGGTGGGTGACTGGAGCGGCGCCCGGGGGGCTCCCGGGGGTCCCTGGGCTCTGCTAACGGTGTCACCAGCTCTGTGTTCTTGCCTTGCCAAGTGCTCACCACCATCGAGGGCATCATTGACAGAGCTGTGGCAGGCCTGGAGCAGGACCAGCCCGCCCGCAGGGTAAGGGCTGGGGAGGGGAGCTCCTCAGGGAGGGACAACGCCTGGGGTGTCCATCCCCTGTCCCCTGGGCTCACACAGGCTGCTGGGGACAGCTCTGGGCTGTGTCTGTCCCCTGGTGTCACAGGCTGCTGGGGACAGCTCTGGGCTGTGTCCGTCCCCTGGTGTCACAGCCCTGCTCTGTGTCCATCCCCTGGTGTCACAGCTCTGGGCTGTGTCCATTCCTTGGTGTCACAGGCTGCTGGGGACAGCTCTGGGCTGTGTCTGTCCCCTGGTGTCACAGCTGTGGGCTGTGTCCATCCCCTGGTGTCACAGACTGCTGGGGACAGTTCTGGGCTGTGTCCATCCCCTGGTGTCACAGCCCTGCTCTGTGTCCATCCCCTGGTGTCACAGCTCTGCTCTGTGTCCATTCCCTGTCCCCTGGTGTCACACAGGCTGCTGGGGACAGTTCTGCTCTGTGCCAGGGTCACCCTCAGCAGCTCTGCTCTGTGCCAAGGTCACCCTCAGCAGCTCTGGGCTGCCCCTGCAGCAGCTGAGCCCCCAGGGGTGATCCCCACTTCCAAGGACTCCGCTCCCGTTTCTTTTCCAGGCGACGGACAAAGAGGTGGCCAGGAAGATAGACGAGTTCATTGGTAAACTGAGGCAGCTGAAGGAAGTCCAGGCCCCCTTCACGTTTGTGAGTGCTGGGAGTGCTCAGCCTGGCTGGGGCAGGGCTGCAGGACGGCTCCCTCACCCCTGCTCCCGCAGATCCTGGACGATCCCTCCGGGAACAGCTTCGTGGAGAACCCGCGCGCGCCGCAGAGGGACGAGGCCCTGCTGGTCACTCGCTACAGGAGGAGCCCCCAGCAGTGTGCCCTGCTGGGCCTGGAGGTGATGCAGCAGCCCCTGCTCCCGGGACCCCCGGCGGGGACCCCCGGCAGGGACCCCCTGACGCTGCCCTTGCAGGGAGAGGAGCCGGACGCGAAGCCGCCGGACGCTGCCGAGGACCTGAGGGACGAGGTGGGTGCTGCTGCAGGGCTCGGGGACACCCAGGCCAGCTGTGCCAGGCTGCCTGGGGCATTGTGGCTGCCTGGGGCATTGTGGCATCGTGGCTGCCCCTTCCCTCCGCCAGGTGCTGCAGTTCAACACCAACTGCCCCGAGTGCAACGCCCCGGCCAGCACCAACATGAAGTTAGTGCGTATCCTTCGGGGCTGGGCTCTCCCTGCTGCTCCACGGGCCTGGGCGTTCTCAGGTGGGGTGCAGAGCTGTCTCAGGGCTGCTCACAGCTCCCACTGGGGTCCTCGGCTGCTGCTTTGATGTTTGCCTTGACTCCCTGCTCCAGAAATCCCCCACTTCAAGGAAGTGATTATCATGGCCACCAACTGTGACTCCTGTGGGCACAGGACCAACGAGGTGAGCTGGGCACAGGGGCAGGGAGTGGAGTTCTGTGCCTCTGACCCTCAGCTCTGCTTCCCAGCGGGACTGCTGGGGAAGGAAACTGTCCTTGGGGGCATTGCCAGGAGGTGCTGGGTGCTGAGCTGTGCCAGGTTTGGAGTGGGCAGTTGGAGCACAGGGGAGAGCTGGCTGTGGGCTCACTGCCAGCTGTTCCCAGGTGAAGTGTGGAGGAGCCATCGAGCCGCAGGGCACCAGGATCACCCTCAGGATCACGGACCCTTCGGACATGACCAGGGACATCCTGAAGGTGCAGTGCCCAGGATACCTGCCCTGTTCTCCTGTGGGGTGTGGGGCTCTGGGGGCCCGGCCCTCCCTGCGTGGGCTCACGGGGGGCTCCCCTCTGCAGTCAGAGACGTGCAGCGTGGAGATCCCCGAGCTGGAGTTCGAGCTGGGCATGGGAGCGCTGGGGGGGAAGTTCACCACGCTGGAGGGGCTGCTCAAGGACATCAGGGACCTGGTGAGTGCTCCTGGGGGGCTCAGCCCCCTCCCTGGCCCTGCTGGGGGGCTGGCTGCTCACAGCTGCCTCACCTGCCCCTGCAGGTGGAGAAGAACCCCTTCACCCTGGGGGACAGCTCCACGCCCAGCAGGACGGGGAAGCTGCAGGAGTTCCTTGGGAGGCTGCAGGACGTGAGTTTCCTCTGCATTTTCCGTGCTCTGCACGGGTGCCAGAGGTGCTGAAGGGTTGGGAAGAGCCTTAATGGGGTGTGCTCTGTTCCTGCAGATCATAGAGGGCAAGGCCCAGGCTCACTTCATCTTGGATGACCCTGCAGGCAACAGTTACCTTCAGGTACACCCCTCGGGTGGGCTCCCTGGCAGTTTGGGGGGTTTATTTCCCTGGCACGTGGTGGCAGTGGGGCTCCCCTTGGAGATCTGGGCACCAGCAGATGCTGGAAGCCCTGCTGGCTTTGTGGGGGCTGCCCAGGGCTCCCAGCCTGTGCTGGTGGCAGAGGGGAGAGCAGGGGCTGTGCCCGAGGGCAGAGTGGGCCTGTTGGGGTGCAGAGCTCTCTCCCCCTGTCCCCACAGAACGTGTACGCCCCGGAGGAGGACCCGGAGCTGAGCGTGCAGCGCTACGAGCGCAGCTTTGAGCAGAACGAAGAGCTGGGCCTCAACGACATGAAAACAGAGGGCTACGAGCCAGAGCCGGCCTCGGGCCGGTAGCGGGGCCACCCCGGCCCTGCCAGCCGCCTTCCCCAGCTCACCCGGGACCAGGACTCGTGCGGGGCCGGGGCTCCTCTGCCCTGGCCGGGGGCCGGGGCTCGGGGCCTCCCCGCGGGCTGTGGCTGCTGAGGGCAGGGGGTGGCAGGGGCGGCTCCCCAATAAAGCTGATTGATAACGCTGATGGCGTCGTGTCCTCCTCCTGTTGCTGCTGCTCCATTCATAACCCCGACAGCTGCGAGGCCACACCTCCAGCCCCGCCCTCAGCTCCATTTATGGCATTGGCTGCAGGTAGACCACGCCCTCAGCCCCACGCGCAGCTCCATTTATGGCATTGGCCGCCGTTTGGCCACGCCCATATCCCCGCCCCTATTCATTTATGGCATGGGCTGTCTGCTGGCCACGCCCACAACCCCGCTCCCGCGCCATTCACGGCCTTCAGCGGCCTGGCCACGCCCATCCCGCCATATCTCCATATGTAGTAATGACCACGCCCATCTCTGCGCGCCGCGCTCAGGCCCAGCCCCTTCCTGCCGGCGCCGGAGTTTGACGTCACAGCGCGATGGCGGCGCCGGGGCTGTCGAAGGCCGAGTACCTGCGGCGGTACCTGAGCGGCCCCGCCGAGCCCGCCCAGCCCCGCCGCCGCCGCAAGAGGAAACCGCCGGGCGGCGCCGGCAGAGGCGGGTGAGTCCCGCGGGAAGGGGGCACCGGCGCGGCCCTGCGCGCTGCCCGGCCTTGGGAACCCCCCGGGCCCACTGCCCCGGCTCCCCTCACAAAGCTCCCTGCGCGCCCCCGCGGCTGCCCCGCCGCGCCTCCCCCCGGTCCTGACGGGCCCTGACGGCCGTCCCCGCTGGCAGGATGCGGATCGTGGATGACGATGTGAGCTGGAACAGCATCGCCGCCGGCCCGGACAGGGAGGAGGAGGAGGAGGACGAAGGGGACATGCCTGTGGTGAGCGGGGAGTGCCTCAGGCGCGCTCTCACACCGTCCGTCTGCCCTTGCGGTCACCTCGCTGCTCCTTTTGGGGAGATCTCCTTAGAGCGCCTCTGTTTGTGTGGCGGGTTCTGCCCCGGGGGTGGCGGGAGCCCTGCGGGAAGGAGGGAGCTCCCTGCGGGCCAAAGCGGCCCGTTCTGTGCCAGCCCGGGTTCTGTGCAGCCCGTTCTGTGCCAGCCTGGGGTTCTGTGCAGCCTGTTCTGTGCAGCCCATTCTGTCCCAGCACAGGGTTCTGTGCTCCAGAGCAGCTGCTGGAGCAGGGCACAGGGACTGGGGTTGTGGTGCCCGTGTGAGGAGTGGGAATTGTGCCTTTGCTGAGCCCCTGCTGCTCGCTGGGTGTTGGCAGGTGGCAGAGTTCATTGATGAGCGTCCCGAGGAGGTGAAGCTCATGGAGGAATTCCGAACAAACTCCAAATGGAAGCTCCTAGGAGGTGAGAGCAGCTCCTTCCACCCTCTCTCCCTAAAGCCTGGCTTTCCCAGACAATGGAGAAATAATCCTGGAGGTGCTGGGGGCTGCTGAGCTGTGCAGAGCCCCAGTAATGTGATTGCAATTGTTTTCCCTCAGATGAGGACTCGCAGAGTTCGGATATTTCGGGACCTGCCAAGTCTGCCACGAGGTAGGGGGCCTGCAGGCAGGAGTTCTGCTTGTCTGGCTGTGTCTGTCTGGTTCAGTGCTGTGCTGGGAAATGTGGGCACTTCTGGATACCCTTCCCTGCTGGACAGCCCCTGCTGGGGCAGGGCACTGGCAGCTCTGGCTGTTTGTGACACTGCCAGGGGGGGCTGGGGTGATGGTCCCTGTGGGTTTGGACAGTGCTGATGGTGCAGACTTTGCCATCCCAGCTCTGCTGGGACCCAGCTGCCTGGCAGGGTTTCTGGGATCTGCTGGGACCCAGCTGCCTGGCAGGGTTTCTGGGATCTGCTGGGACCCAGCTGCCTGGCAGGGTTTCTGGGATCTGCTGGGGCTCAGGGCTGCAGCATCCAAACGAATCCACCATCACAAGCTGCTCCCAGCCTCGGCCAGCTGCCAGCTCTGCGGGTCCTGCTTTGTTCCCAGACAAAGCAAGCAGCAGGGAGCTCACTGTCACCTTCTCTGTCCCCGCAGGCGGCGGCACCACGGCTCCCCGGAGCCCTCGGCCCCGGCAGGGAAACACAACGGCTCCGTGGAGCTCTGTGCTCCCCGGGGACAGCAGCATGGCAGCCCTGAGCTGTCACCTCCCAGGAGACAGCGACACGACACCCCTGACCCATCCCCTCCTAGGAGACAGCGCCATGACACGCCAGATCTGTCACCCCCCAGGAGAAAGCGACACGACGCCCCTGACTCGTCCCCTCCCCGGAGGCAGCGTCACGACACGCCAGACTTGTCATCTCCCAGAAGGCAGCGTTGTGACACCCCGGATCTGTCCCCTCCCCGGCGGCAGCAGCGTCATGACACCCCTGACCCCTCACCCCCCAGGAGACAGCGCCATGACACCCCAGACTCGTCACCTCCCAGGAGACGACGTCCTGGCACCCCAGATCTGTCCCCTCCCCGGCGGCGGCAGCGTCACGACACCCCTGACCCCTCACCTCCCAGGAGACAGCGCCATGACACCCCAGATCTGTCCCCTCCCAGGAGACAGCGCCATGACACCCCAGATCTGTCCCCTCCCAGGAGGCAGCGCCACGACACCCCAGATCTGTCCCCTCCCAGGAGACAGCGCCATGACACCCCTGACCCATCCCCTCCCAGGAGACAGCGTCAGGATTTGTCACCTCGGAGAGAGAAGCCGGGGTCCCCGAGTGGGAAGAAGGGCCGGACGAAAGGTAAGTGCCACACGCTGTGTCCCCCGTGTCCTGGGGACCCCTGGGATCCACGCTGCCACAGGTGAGTGCTGGCACAGCTGGCAGTGGCAGGGGTCTGTCCCTATGGGCACAGCTGGGTGAGAGCTCAGCCAGCCTGGAGTGCCTCTGCCGTGTGCACAGTGAGGCCCTGAGCGCTCCTCCCGGGGGATCACCAAAGCCTCTCTGATTTATCTCCTCCAGGACGGGCTTCTCCTGCCCAGAGGGACCAGCCCAGGTCCCGGAGCCCCCCGGAGCCCTCCCTGCTCCACCGGGATGCCAAGGGCTCTCCCAAGAAGGTAAAGGCTGTATCTTTCCCTTCCAGCTGTGAAAATCCAATGATGGACGAACTGGGGAAGGTTTTGGCTCTAACAGGGCTGTCCCTGTGGTTTGAGTCCCCCCTCGCTCTGGCTGCTGCTCTGTGCCAGCTGTAACTGGGATTTGTGTGCTCTCCAGGCTGGCACGATGGCATCCGGGGTCAAAGCTGGCCTGGTGTCGGCTGATGTGCTGCAGAGGGAGAAGCAGGAGCTCCGGAAGCACGAGAGGAGCACCAGGCACCTGGAAGGTGGGAGTGGAACACAGCCCGCGCCACAGCTCCCTCCTCCTCCTCCTCCTCCTCTGCTCTCTGGGCCCTGGCACTGGGATGCTGCTGGGGAGCATCCTGTGGAACTGCAGCTGGACGTGCTGCTGGAAGCTGGGCCAGGGTCTCTGTTCCACATGGGGATTTCAGAGCAATGCCAGGGAAGTCACAGGGAGTGTGAAATGCTTTTGTGCCAGTCTGAAGGAGCTGATGAGAGCTCAGGGGCTGTGAGGGGCAGCAGGGAAATCTCTGCACGAGCTGAGGTCCTGCCTGGCTTTGAGTGACAGGCTCTTTGGGAGATGAGGACCAGCAAAAGAGAAGTCACAGTTAAAGTCACTGAATTGTCTGGAGATAAAAAAGGTGATAAAATGTTCCAAAATTGTGACTTGAGGCATCTGTCCCTGCCAGAGGAATCCCGGAACGCTCAGACCGTGTTCCGAGACAAGTCCGGCCGCAAGAGGAACCTGGCCCAGGAGCAGCTGGAGCAGAGGCTGAAGGCTGAGGCAGAGGCCAAGAGAGAAGAGCAATATGCCAAGTGGGGAAAAGGGTGAGTGAGGGACTCCTGAGCACAGACCTCGGGCCTCCCATCTGCTGGTGTTAGTTTGGGTCTGCTGCCAGACTGCTGCTGCGTTTCCCTGCCCTCTGAGGTTGAGCCTGGGACCAGCGCGTGTTCCACGTGTCTGAAAACCCCTTCCCGTGCTGGAGGTGCTTTGGGAATGCTGCACAGGACTTGAGGGGTGTGACCCATCCTGCACATTGGAGTCCCAAGGAGTGGTGGCTGGGGTTTGGGTGACACAGTGTGCTTTCCAGGCTGGCACAGGAGAGGCAGCAGCAGCAGAATGTGGAGGATGCAGTCAAGGAGATGCAGAAGCCCTTGGCCCGTTACATCGATGACCAGGACCTGGACAGAATGCTGAGGGAGCAGGAGAGGGAAGGAGACCCCATGGCTGCTCTCATCAAGAAGAGGAAGGCCAAGGAGAACAAGGAGAAAGGTTTGCCTCTGGAATACACCTGGGTGTGGTTTAAGGTGTCAGCAGTGCAGAAATGCAGCTGCTGTTCAGTAAATAGCCAAGGGGGACTTCTGGACTCTGGAGTTACTGGCCTGTTAGCAGTAACAGTTCATGAGTTGTTAGCTGGGAGAGCAGGGCCTGCTGGCTGAAAACTCAGCAGTTTGTCACAGTGAGCCCTTGGGAGCTGCAGCTGGCTGGCAGGAGCCTGTGCTCTCTACCTGTGCCCACCTGCAGACACCTCCTGGGTGGCTGAGGATGTGACCACGTGGCTGTGCTGAAAACAGCTCTTCTGTTCTTTGTGTTCCAGAAAAACCCAGGTACAAGGGACCAGCTCCTCCACTCAACAGGTTTAACATCTGGCCCGGGCACCGCTGGGACGGTGTGGACAGGTACTTGTTCCTGTTGGAATAGCAGTAAAAATAAATTTAAAGTTCTGCTTCAGGGACTTCCCAGTGTAAAGGTTTCCAGTTCTGGATGAGTGAGAGTGTTGGCAGCTGGAAGGCTGAATGAGTTCAGTTATAAACCAGTGTAAAGGTTTCCAGTTCTGGATGAGTGAGAGTGTTGGCAGCTGGAGGCTGAATGAATTCAGTTACAAATGGCTGATGGGACAGATGGGACAAGGGAGGTGAGGAGCATCAGCTCTTGGTAACCACAGGTCCAGGTGGAAACTGAGCCAGAGTAAATCAGTGGCAAAGCTGCAGTGCTCAGAAGGGCTGGTGCCCAGCAGCTGCTGTCACCTGGTGTCCCCCTGCAGGTCCAACGGGTTCGAGCAGCAGCGCTTCGCGCGCATTGCCAACAAGAAGGCGGTGCAGGAGCTCGCCTACAAGTGGAGCGTGGAGGACATGTAGGGGACGTGGAGGACATGTAGGGGACGGCTCCTGCAGTGCCCCAGGGCACCACTGCTGCCACAGCCCCGAGGAATGGCCTGCTCTCCTGGAACGAGCCCTGTGCCTGGCGTTCAGCAGCCATCTTCTGAGAGGCAAGGCTGGATTTCCCTGCAGCCAGAGCCTCCAGCTCCCTGGGGAGGACACTGCTTTCCTGTTTGTTTTCTAACAAACTAATGTTCTACGCCAAATGACTTCTGAGGGCAGTTCCCAAGTCTTCAGGTGTCCTAAATCTCAGGTGAAAATCTGCTGAATGCTTGGGCTTGGGAGAGGTATCCTCATGCAGTGGGTCACTCTGCTCCAGAACTCGGGTTAAGTGGAACTCCTGAACTTTTGTCAAGTTTATGCAGCTTTTTTGCCATGTAGATCCCAGAGTCACCAACATGCAGGGAAGTTCAAACTCAGCTTCTCCTGACTCTGTCCAAGCAGGAAGCTGAGCAGGGAATGCTGTGGCACTGGCAGAGAGACCTGCAGTGCTGCATTGGGCAGCAGGATCTTCAGGAGCCTCAGCAATTCTTCGGTGCTCCATTTCTAGTGGAAGTCAATGTGTGGAGAATTAGGACTTAAGACCTGGAGTTGCCTCCCTCATAGTTTGGAGCAGCTGGTCCCCCCAGACCCCTCTGGATTTGGGGCTGATCTCAGCACTTGGCTCACTCTGGTGGGAGGTGTAACAGCCCTTGTCCTGTGATCAGTTTGGTCAGTCTTGGAGCTTCCCTTAATCCCTGTGTGCCAGAAAGCACTTGTGGAAATAAATACAGTTGTTCTTGTTGAGGTCCCAGGGAGCAGGGAGGAAATGCAGGCAGCAGTTTCCATGGAGATGCCTTGGCTGCAGCAGTGGGCAGGGCAGGATCACTCTTTTCAGGGATTCTCCAGCACTGGGGGGCCCTGGGTGGGAGGGAGGGACAGAGCACAGTCTGCTCTGGAGTGCCAGACTCTTGGGACATCCCTGCTTTTCATCCCTGTGTCTCATTTCCAGCAGCCCTGGAATTGGTGTGTTCACCTGTAAATAAAACCTTTCTTTTTTTTACTCCATTCTGCGTGCTGGTGGTTTTTCCAAGGCAGCTGAACCACGTCCAGGCAGGTGCTTCCAGCTGTGCCTCCCCCTTCTGTCACCAAGGCCCTGTTCCATTTCCCCTGTAACCTGAGGCAGCTGCAGCCTCCACAAGTGCAGTTTCACTTGACACATTCGTTTTTGCTCTCACTTAATCTGAGTGCTGCTGGAGATGTAAAGAACCTGCTGTGGAATGATTGGATTTGCTCTCGTGAGCAGAGCTGGATGCTGGTACCTTCCTCACCTGCCTGGTGACAGTGGCTGCTCTTGCAGAGTCACAGCTGCCAGCAGCTGGCTCGTGTCACTCTGGGGATTGTAAGCTGCTCTTAAGGAGGCAAAGCACTTTTAAATGCTGGTACTAAATAAAATGTGCTTAGGACCTGAAAATGGCATCAGGCTCTGCTCTTGCAGCTGGGTTTGAAGGCTGGGGTTTTAAAATTTTAGAGGTGCTACCCTGGGGACCTCCTTGTTCATCACAATGCTGGATTTTTACATCTGTTACTTGTTTGCTGCCAAATATTGTATTCTTAAGAGATATCTGTGAGGAAAGGGGGGGCTCACGTGGTGAACACCTCCCTCCCTGATCCCATCCCGTGTGCTGCCTGGGGAGAAGGGAGCTGGGTTTGTCCCTGTGCCCTTGTTCTGCATCCCACATCCCCTGTCCCAGCTGTGGCCTTGTCTGAGCAGCTCTGGCATCAAAGCAATTGGAAAACGCTGTGGGATGCCCTGGGATGAGCTGGGGGATGGAGATGGAGCAGTGACACCGGGGCTGGATCTCTTCATTAGCGGTTCCGGAAGGGCAGAGCCCTGGTCTTGGCATCGAGCAGCAACTTTGATTAGCTTCAACCCAAAAAAATGAATATTAAAATCTTAATTTAATTTAAACCACTGTCATTCACAGTCATGGCAAACAGCAAGCAGAGTAATTATTATGCAAATGAGACACATAGAAAAATGATTAATAATTGCGCAAATTAAAAATTATTGTAAACATCCTGTGACTGGTGATAAGTCGGGGAGGAGGCAGCGGGGCTCAGCCACCTCCTGCATCCCGATTTCCTCATTAGTGGGAGCAGTAACGAGGAGCCCGGGGGTGCCTGGGGAGGCCGGGCCAGGCTGGGGGTCTGCTCCAGCTCCTCTGTACTGTGAGAAAAGCCGGGTTTAAGCCATTTCCCCCCTTGAGGTGTCCCTGTGCTCCTGCCACTGCCTGTGTGCCCCTCTGCAGCCCGCCAGGGGATGCCAGCAGTGCTCCCCAGGCTGCTAACGACCCTGCGAGCTCCCCCCAGCAATCACCAGCTGATTTCTCTGGTGTTTCTCTGCTAATTGCACAGCTGTATTTTTCCCCCGTTTTCCTTTCGTGCTTTTCCCAGGGAGCAGGACCATTCCAGTCCCAGGCTCTCCTGGCTCCTGGGCTTCCACGGGCGCCGCTCGTGTCAAGGACGAGCAATTAAGCCTGGCCCCGCGCGGCGTAATTAGATTTTTGTTGATGAGCTCGTGGTAATGTGTTTAGTTTAGATTAAGAGCTTAATTTCTGGGGTGTGACACGGCCCATCCCCGGGAGCCCTGTGCCCACGGGAGTGGGGCTGCTGGAGGGGTGTCCTCGGCCACCACCCCTGCCTGTGTGTCACTGTCCCCACTGAGGTGAACGTGGCTTCTCCGCCAGCTGCCTCTTGGCTGTTGTTTTTTTAACAGCTCCAGCGAAGTGGCTTTTGGCACTGTTGTGTTATTGCTCCACTTCCTGCTGAGCTCTATTATTTTTTAATTAAAAAGAGCCTGAGATTTGTCATTTAATGTCTCTCTAAGCGGCAGCAGCTCCAGGTCGTGGGTGCTCGGCAGAGCTGGTGGCTCCCTGAATCATCCCTGGCTTCCAGCACGGAGCACCTGGGCATGGGGGCACAGTGGGGCTCCCCCCGGGCACAGAACCCCACTGCTTTTTGGGGAAGAAGAGTTTTCCCTGGTGACTCCATCCCACAGCGGGGCTGGCAGTGAGAATCCCTGAGACTGGCAGGTTAGTGATTGTATATGCATATGTGCACTTTCCCTAATTATGGAATAATTAGGGACACGCAGAGATAAAAATTACTAATAATATTTACTCTAGACTCTTATTTTTTTTTTTCAATAACCTCTCTCTCTCTTCCTCCTTCACCGAGTCTTGGTGGAAATAACTTTGCAGATCCCAGCTAATGAATATTTGTAAATGCAAGAACATTCGGCGCCGGAATATCCAGAGGGCATCCTCTCTCTGCCTTGTAATTTTTTTTCCACCAGATATTTAATATTTATGGTTCCACAGCCTCGTGAATAAAGAGCCACACGCAAACCCCCAGGAGCTCGGGGGCCGGGATATTTATGGTGCTTCCTCTTTTCCTTTTCAATTACAAAGACACCTCACATAATTAAGTGCTAATAACCTTGTTAATCTAAAATTGATACTCTTTCTCCTGGCTATCTCTTAATAGAATTAAAAACAGATTAATAATCAAGGGTAGGAGAAGTTGCACAGGATTCAGGGAGAGGGGCCACGCTGGGCCCCTCCCGGGAGCCAGCTGGGATGGGCAGCAGGAAGGGCTGGCAGGGAGCTGTGCTTTCCCCCTGCTCTTTACACCGCTTAAATTTTTAAGACAAACAGCCATGTAACACCGTCTCCTAATGAAACTGTTTTATGTTAATTAATTATGTATCAAGGCTCATTTTCATGCGCGGCCCGGCTCCGCTTCCCCTCCGCCGGGCCTTTGATCTGTCAGAGGCTAAACGGGAGATAAATAATCAAATTGAGAAGCAGCCTGGATGGAAATAAACACAGTTTAGATGCGTTATCGGGCGGGGAGAGCAAGGCCCTGGTAATGGGGCTCACGGCTCAGCCACGCTCGGCTGCACACGCGGGCTGTGGGAGTGTCCTGTGCCTCAGTGTCCCCGGGACAGCTCCGTGTCCTGTGCCTCAGTGTCCCTGGGACAGTTCCGTGTCCTGTGCCTCAGTGTCCCCGGGACAGCTCCGTGTCCTGTGCCTCAGTGTCCCTGGGGACAGCTCCGTGTCCTGTGCCTCAGTGTCCCTGGGGACAGCTCTGTGTCCTGTGCCTCAGTGTCCCTACAGCCACCCCTGGGGACAGCTCTGTGTCCTGTGCCTCAGTGTCCCTGCTTTCTCTCCTGGAGCAGTGTCAGACCTTGGCCAAGGCCAGCCCTGCTGCAGTGGCACAGCTGAGGTGCCAGCCTGGAGGGGAGCAGAGGATCACCCGGGCAAAGGATGTGGGAACAGCCCATCCCTTCAGAGGAAGGGATGCAGGTGGGCACCTGTGCCCTCCCCTGTGCCCTCCCCTGTGCCCTCCCCTGTGCCGTGGGTGGCAGACAGGAGCGAGCAGCCTTGGGTGGCCCCCATGGCACATCCTGGCCGGGCCAGCAGCGCTCGGGTGGCCGTGCCAGGGCTGCGGGCACTGCCACCAGCCCCAGCCGTGCCTGTCACCCCCCCGAGCCGCAGCCCCGGGCAGGAGCGATCACAGGCAGCGCTCCGAGAGCCTCGTCCCCTCCAGCCCGGCCCCGGGCCCTGCCTTTGGGCTTCTGCGGGCTCCGCTCCAGCCCTGTCAGCTCTCATCAACCCGCGCATCAAAGCCGGAGCTGCCGAACATCCCCGGGAGCGGCGGGGGCCGCTCAGCGGAGCAGGGGGCTCAGGGGGGCTGCCCAGGGCACAGAGGGTCTCCACCCGACGAGGGAGCTGCTGGCAATGTCCCTGGGATGTCCCTGAGCAAGGATGGAAGATAACAGGACGTGGTGCTCCGGTCTGGTTGACAGCGTGGTGGTCGCTCAGAGGTTGCACTTGATGCTCTGGGAGTCTTTCCCACCCTGAGTGATTCTGTGGTTCATCTCCCACGTGTCACACGTGTGCAAGCAGGGAAAAGAGACTTAGCAAGAAAACGCACAAAAATCAAGCAGAGAGGGTGCTGCTGCTCTCTGTAGAGTGGGGTTTGCCTGCCAAGGTGCTCTCTGTGCCACTGTAGCTGCAGACTGGGATTCCCTGCCCGGCCCTGGCGTGGCTCAGCATCCTGCCAGTGAGCTAATCAGGTCAATGCATTTTTAACGGGCCATAGGAAATCTTTATATTTTTTGTCAGGCTCATTCTTCTCCCCCGTCTCTCTGTGGGGGCTGAATTATTTAATGCTGAATATCAAGCAGGGCTGGTTTCCCTGTGCTGGCTGCTGACGGTGCATTTTGGGGCTGCTGAGATTGGCAGTGGCTGCGCTCCCAGCCGGGCCTGGGGGAACCCGTGCAGCAGCAGATTACCTGCTTGCAGCCAGATTTATGGAATACCTTGGGTCCTTCTGGGCGTCTGAATAAGCGGGATAGGTTTGGAGAGGGGATGGGCAGTGCCAGAACAGGGTGCTCACAAATCACAGCATGCCCAGCCTCCCTAATCCCTCCCTGAGTGCAGTCAGAGCATCAGCTGGTGTTTGGGTTGATCTCCACGCTGGGCAAGGCTGAGAGAGGAGAGCAGGACACCAGGGGACCCAGCAGGCTCAGCTCAGCAGATCCCAGCTCGGGGCACCACGGTGGGCAGGGCTGGGCTGGCAGGAACGTGTGACAGCGGGCACAGGTCGTGTGTGGCCAGGAGCACCCGTGGGCACTCAGACACGAGGGGCTGGTTTGTGTATCGGGGTTTATCTTTCCCATTAATGGCTTTCTAAATTGGTGGCAGTGGAGCAAAAAACCCAATCTGAACTCGGAGCATGCATGATTACTATTGTAATAACCTTGGCTAATAAGAATATGATGTGGTGTTAGGCTGGGAAAGAAAACACATTTCTCATTAGCTTTTTGATTAATTACTCCACATAATTTCCTAGGGGGACATGCCTGGGACTGATTGCCTTTGCTTTTGACGCGTGGAAGTGGTTTACCTTAAGTTAATAATTTTCTCGGTGACATTTTAATGGCAGGCCTCAATTAATCTCCAGTCATGGGGCAAAGGCCAGGCTCCTG